TCCTCCTTTTCAGGTTGAAATTTTGAATTTCCAAACGGTCAGTCTACAGCAGGCCTGCGGGGTGGGCGTGGCCACAGGAACCTGTTGGGGGCGTGTCCTGCCCAGCACCTGGCCCCTCTGGCCCGCGCATGCGCGCGGCCCGCTCACCGCCTCTTGCCGCCCGCAGCTTCCCGGGAGTCGGAGGGAAACTTGGTCCCTTCTGGACCCCGCGCCGGGGAGGCTTCAGCGGCACTTTGGTGTGGCGGCGGTCCTGGGTCGAAAGAGAGGTGGAGGTGAGCCAAGGGCGAGGGCAAGGTGAGCACCTCTCCCTGGGGGTGGGTGGCTGCGGAAGGGGTCCTTGGAGGACCCAGGGCGGCGCGTGGGAAACTGGGGGTTTTAATGGGCTCAGAGAAACATGGGGGTCCGGTTCATTCCTGAGCATGACCCCTTGGGGTCCCGCCTCTGCTGACTGAGGAGGCTCCTGCCCCCCCACCCCTGGGGCTGCTGCTAAATTGATGGCCCTGATGTGGGGTTTCCGGGCTCTGTTCTCTCCACTAATCTGTGTGTTTATCACGGTGGATGCGCCTTAGAGTTTGGGTGCCGCAGGGTAACATTCTGGGGCGAGGCTCCTGAGGGTGACGCAGCGCGTTTCGGCCTCATTGTTGCTAATTTCTCCCTCTCAGGCGCAGCACTCAGCAGCGACCAGACTTTCTCATGCCTGTGGGTCTCCTGGGCCCCTCAGTACCGGTTCTGACCCAGTGGGCTGCTCAGGAATGAACCCCGACCCCTGGGATCCTCCATGCCCAGAAATGAGCCCCGAAGCCCCTCCGCTGCCCGTGTCCACCTCCAGCTCTTCCTGGCTGGGTCCTCCACGGTCAGCCCCCCACAGGGAGATGGTCCTCCGCTTCCCTCCACTTTGGGGCTCACCTCATCCTTCCATGGCCCAACAAAGTCCCCAGATCAACCACAGGTGGCGCCTGCTCACTGGGTCCTGACTGACCAGGTTCCCCCCTGCAAGGACTCCTGTCCGTGACCCCGCCCCTCCCAGTCAACCTGAACATTGTGAAGCTGGTAATGTCTGTGACGGAATTTCACTTCGTTGGTATCCAGGTCTCTTCCAAAGTTGCTCAAATGTGTTGAGGTTTAGCATGGCAATTTGTTGTAATAACTGCTAGTTTGAGATTCACCATGTTAAAAAGGAGGCCACAGAGAGAGGCTGCAGGGTGTCCCCAGTGTGGCAGTGACATTCTTCGATTGACAGCTGGCAAGTTCCTTTAAAGTGAAATACTTAAAGCCAAAAAAAAAAAATCCCCTTTCAAATGAAGGGAGTTTAATTTTTATTTTAATTCTTACAGGTACTTTAAATGCTCCTGGCTATTCCCAGAGGGAATTTTTCACACACCCCCCCTTTTTTTATTTGAGTGTTAGCAACGTAAGTTATGTTGCTTCTATCCTGCATGCTGTGCAAGCCTGGCCAGAGCAAGGTGAGTGTGGAAAGTGTGTTTAACAGCCACAGACTTTCCTGGTGCTTATGCAGTCTTTGCTGAGATAATTCAGGATTTGCGCTCCAGGTTGGGGTGAAAATGAAAGCAAATCACTTGCCAGGATTTACAATGATGTCTGACAAGTTCATCTGGACACATGAACTTCATTTGGTTCTATTCTTTGCTTTTTCCTTTCTGTGAAGGAAATTCACCACCCCCAGGAAATCTCTACACTTTTTATATAAAATTATGAGTGTGAAGTATGTCACCCCCATTCATAATGTCTTCTCCTCCCCTTAGGCGTACACAATGGGCAGAGCTCCTGTCTCTGGGAAGCTGGAAGGCTCAGACCTTGGACTCGAGTCTGGTCTCACTGTGGGTGCTTTTAAACCTACTCACTGTGGTTGTTTTTAAACTAAACCTACCCAAAGCCGTGCATTAAACAATAATATTCTAAGTTTCAAAATGAACAAAAAACGGAAAATGTGTTACCTGGATTTGAAAACTCACAGGAGCCTGGGCTCAGGCCAGAAACCCAGCCCGCCCCTCACTCTGATAAACGGGGTGACCTTCAGATCAACACTCCAAACGCTGCTGCTCCGCCCACCTGCCTGACTCCCAGGAAACCGTATTCTCACCTTAAATGTTTTCCAATAACCACAGTGGGATTGTGAAGTCTTAAATAAAACATAACTGGTTACTGTGCACCTCCCATGGAGCAGGGCGGCAATTTCAGCAATGACATTTCCATAATCTTCAGCTGACTGCATCTGATAATAGAGACTGTGCATGTTATAGAAACTTTGATAGGTATTAATATAATGAACGGTATAGTCAACTCTGATTTTTCATCAAAACATGCACACTTTTATGAGTTAGTTTACTTCCTACCTAGTACTTTCTAATATTCTTATTTGTGTGTAAGGTGATGCCCAGTTTGAGAATTGCAAAATGAACTCCCCCTAGCCAGGTCACGAGACAGAAAATCACAACATGGCATCATCTTCCCCAAATGGGCACCAATGTGACTTTCATCACCATTATTTCCCCTGCTCTCCATTCTATCACCTAAGGATGATTCATGCTATGTATAATTAAAACATGATGTTAATTTTGCGTGGTATTTAACAGTTAAATAAATCACGTTTATTTTCTGTCTTAGCATATTCAGCAACATGCAGGCAAGATTAATCCACATTACTGGACGCAGCTAGAGACTAACTTCACTGCTCATCATAGTCCAGCTGAGGCAAAGTAATATTTTTTCCATTCTAGTCATCATACACATATGGGTTAGACAGC